TACTCAGCTTCGAAGAGGACGTATGGATGTTGGCACACTTTTGCGCATTATTTTTCTTACATTTGTGTAATTGTGTATTTAGTTTTTACCCATATAAACTCCTAATTACGATGTGTTCTATTTTATGACCTATAAGAAAAACACACTAAACAATTTTGACCGCAAATACCCAGCAATAGCGTTTGCGAACAGATTTACATGACCTCTTTTTATTTATAAATGATCTTGTGCAAACCTAAAAAGGTCACATTTTTTAAAATTAAAATGAAAAAAAAACTTTTTAGAAAAATTTGTTTTAACATTTCTCGTTTGAGGTAATTTATTTTAACCGAAATTTTAATTTTTTTTTAATTTTCCTTAGATTTTGGGGGCGAGGCGATCGCTCTGATCGGCCCCTTCTGTATCTTCTGTACTAGATGACAAAAAAGATTAACTTCAAAGCTTTGATAAGCGCAAGAAAACTATATTTTTGAAGCGATTTTAAATTATTTTTTCTAATATTTAAAAAAATAGTAGTTTTTTGAACGATTCCCGATTCGAGGTACATATCGCATGTTTAAAGCACTGTCGGAAAATTCTCAACTTCTGAAAGTTTTTGAGTCGTAGATGAAGAATCTATATTGTTTTTTTTTTTTAACCGACTTGAATAAAAAGAGGAAGGTAATCAATTAATCAGAATATTTTGTTTTATTTATATGAATGTTAGCGGATAACTTTGTACCACGTGAACTGTTTTCGATTACTCCTTTTTTATCGGAGAGGTAGTACCCTCGAGGGTAGTCCCACACTAATTTGGTTTAGTTCTGATCATTCTGTCATGCAGAAATTACGGGACTCCTAAATCTTTTATATGAGCATTGAAGTCGGTTGTATTTTTTGCTAAAAAGTTACTTTTTCTAGACCGGGTAATTTTCCCAAGATATTTAATTTTTATAAAAAATCTAACTTTAACCACGAAGCAATTCAAAAAACAACTTTTTTAATTTTTTTATATATTTTTCTTTTGTGATAAAGCGTCTTCTTTTACAAAAAAAAATCAAGCTACTAACGAAGAAAATCAATTGTATAAAAAAAAAAAGTGAATGGTCAAATGGAAATGCATAATAGATTTTTTGTATAGGATATGTATGGGCAGGAAAAAATGTTACTCATGCGTAATGTGACTAACCGTACTTCTTTCGGATGTAAAGTACTTCATTTAAAGCCGTTATACCTCGTACATCGCAGTACAGTGAAATGTACTTTTTTGCAATATTTCGTACTGCCTTTAAGTTGAGTTTTCTTTAGCAGCTATAACTTCTGCCGCTTAGATTTTGTTGATTTTTCCAGTTTCTTAAAACAAATTGTGGCACACGAGAAAAAAGGGCTGTTACGGTTATAATAAAACTGCAGGATCGTAGTATTTTTGTAGTGCTAAATCCGAATATTCCATAAAATGTACAGTTTCACAGTTGACAGCTGTCAAATCAACTTCTAATTTCTCTAAAAATAAGAACGTGTGTTTGAGAAAATACCACCGATTAGGTTCTTTAAAACTTTGAGAGTTGATAGCCAAACGGAATGTTAGATTTTCCGAAAATAAGAAAATCTGCTTTAAAATGCTACTTATAAGGGGTTTAAACACGTTAGTGACCAATTTTAAGTAGGTCAAATTAAACATTGAGAGTTGACAACTGTCGAAGGGGCTGCCAATTTCTTTAGAAATAAGGAAAATTTCCCAAGAATTAAACGTACTGGTTTTAAGGCTCGCTGATCTCGAGTTATATATCACATTCAAACTTTTTTAGTTGCCAGCTGGCAAATTAATTGTATTTTCTGTTGAGTAACACAATATGTACCATGATAAAAACATTACAAGGTAAATTCATTCTCTCATTTCGTCGGCCATGATTTTTTTCTGACGTTTGCCAACATTTTAAAATCATATAAAATTGAAAATAAAAAAATTAAATTGTTCACAATTGTTGTTGTTTGAGATTGAAAATGAGAATGTGTGTGTGAGTTTGAGTTTTGATTTTAAAATTATATTGTTGGCAAACGTCAGACTGCCTCTCAATGGTTTTACCTTGTTATGTTTTTATCATGATATGTACTATATTTGTTTAGCAAAATTAATGATAATTAATAATCTTGTATTCGAGGGACATATTTAAAACGAATGTATGATGATAGCTTAAAATAATATCAGTAATTATATTTATAACTGGGGCATAGTTGGGGCCGTCAGCTATATGTTCAGCTCAAACTATTTCACCTACGCCCTAATAGTTTTTTTAAGATTTTTTCTTTATACGAAATTCGTTATTTCCAAACTTTAGTTTTCTCATTTCTAAATAAAGTTATTCGAGTTTGAATTTTTTGCATTTTTAATTTTCAAAAACTAGTTTGAGATTTGTAGTGTGAACCTCTAAGTACCGAATTTCATGAAAATTCAGTAAGTTTTTAAATTCTCGGACGCCATATTGTAATCGCTATTTTCGATTTTTGAAAATTTACTTCAGTTTGGTTAAGGCACATCTTAAAAATTATATGATGCTAAATATAGAATAAATTACATTAACCCTTAATGCACTTTTATACACTTTATGTTATTTGGAACAACTGGTAAAGTTGATCTAGTGAAATACAAATGGCAGCCACTCTTTTTGGTGCAAGTATGCGCGGCTTTTCTTTTCGTAAATCCTTGCATTACTTTTCGGAAAGAAGATCCTACGCGGCCCTACTCCTTAGTCCTACCTTTTTGAAAAAAAGAATTTCTTGAAAAATAAGCCGCGTTATTTAACTCAGAATCGACAGTTAACTACAGATTTTCAATACAAAAATTGATAATTTAGCAAGCAAATTGTGGTATATAATATTTCATATGAAATAATCATTTTCCATGTTTAAGAACTAACATCAAACCAGTAATTACTGCATGCATGTGAGTATGAATGGTTCCATTCAAGATTTTAAAATAGTAATGGAACTTATCACCTTGTAAATATTTTATTATTGCATACAAAAAGGCACATACTTACTTAGAAATGTATGCACGTACATATGAAGATTTCCACTCTGTACATATGCGCATCAATATAAATACGCAGTTTACGTATGTATGTACATATACTACCCGTAATATATTTGTAAATTAGATAAGATACCAGCAGCTCTTTTCTTAATCAAATCAGTCTACTACATTATAAACTTGCTACTCACGGTCAATCTATCAGCAAAACTCGGCAACTGATGTTTCGACGATGTCGAAGTGCGCGCACGTTATCGCTTTCGGTTTGCAAGCTGGCTTCCTAAGGAATGCACTGCGCTCGCTTTCAAATTGCAATACGTTGCATAGAAACAAATATGACTCCTTTGGCAAGCGTTTGATGAGTACCGAGAAATCGACAGGTATACAAACCCATCGAAAATGCAATGTGGTAGTTATTGGCGGTGGTGCTGTTGGAGCCTCTACTGCTTATTGGCTCAAGAAGCGAGGTAAAAAAGATCTCAGTGTGATTGTTCTGGAACGGGATCCGACCGTGAGTAAAAAATAAGGGTCGCAATGCACATATTTAATTATAGTATGAATGTATCGAAAAATGTAGTACAAGGAGGCTTCCACTGTGTTGTCTGTCGGTGGAGTGCGTCAGCAATTTTCACTGCCTGAAAATATTCAGATGTCCATATATGGCGGCGAATTCATACAGAACTCTGTCAAATATTTGGGTGATGTGGATTTGTGTTTCCGCCCACATGGCTATTTGGTTCTCGCTTCAGAATTATGTGCCAAAATTTTGCAACAAAATTCCAGGCTACAAAACGAATTGGGCGCCCGCAATGAACTACTAACACCGTCTCAATTAACACAGAAATTCCCGTGGATTAACACTGACGACGTGGCATTGGGTATAGTTTTTCAACAAAGTTATTTGAATCACTTACACATTAAAATTTCATTTAGGTTGCTATGGACTTGAAAACGAAGGCTGGTTTGATCCTTGGGCTCTTTTAGGAGGCTTCCGCAACCGTGCCAAGGAGTATGGTGCTGATTTCCTTCACGGCGAAGTCCTTGATTTCGATATACCAAACGACTCTAATAAAATCAACTCTGTCAGAGTTCGAGCCAGAAACAATGATATCTGTACTGTGGATTTCGACATTTGCGTCTTGGCTGCGGGTGCACGTTCAGGTCAAATAGCTCGACAGGCAAATATTGGTACGGGGCCCGGTGAGTTGGCTACATCGCTTCCTGTTGAGCCACGCAAACGGTTTGTCTATGTTTTTACCACACAGGGTAAAAATGCTCCCGGTCCGGGTACACCTCTCACGATAGATCTCGATGGAACATATTTCAGGCGTGATGGCATGGGCAGTAATTTTATTACAGGCCGCAGTCCATGCAACCAACAATCTGAGCCGCCAGTAAGTAGCTTGGATGTTGATCACGAATACTTCGAGACGGACATATGGCCAACTTTAGCGAAGCGTTGTAGTGCATTTGAATCGATCAAAGTATGTGGTAGTTGGGCTGGCTACTACGAATACAACACGTTTGATGAGAACGGCATAGTTGGTCCACATACGTACTATAAAAACCTTTTCATCGCGACTGGGTTTAGTGGGCATGGTATTCAACAGTCGCCTGCAGTGGGTCGAGCCATTTCGGAGCTAATACTAGATGGTCGCTATAAAAGTATAGATCTAAGTCGCCTAGGGTTCGATAGGATTGCTTGCAATAGACAAATGTGTGAATTGAATATCTATTAGGAAAAGCGACTCCTAAAATGATGTTTTGAATGGAAATCCTTTATTTGAATAATCAATAAATAAAACTAATATTTTTGTTTTGCACAATTACTTTATTTTTTCTTCTTCTATGCAATTGAGGGTTCATAGAGTTGAATATGTTGGAAAATTCGTTAACGGGCATTTAGCCGCGACTTTCATATATGATTATATTTACGTAAATACAACACAGATATGTACATTCGCGACAATACAAAACATAATTTTTAAATAAATATGTGTATGTATGTAGATACATTTCAGCACCAGCCAGTTCATAACCGTTAGTAGGCAAATACACGCGCGAAAATAACAGTAGGGTGTTCACACCTGGTTAGAGGTTATTATTCTACAACGGTTTTTATTGTTGAAGGCTGAATACAAAGTACAACCACATAGAAAAACAGCTGTTTTTAACTATTGGTTAACTAATGGATGTACAATGAACTATTTAAAAAAACCTTTTCGAAATTGCCTTGAAAAAATACTTAACAGCCTAACTCAATAGGTATAAACGCACCACGCGGCGTTTGTATACGCACGCCATCTAATTTGTTTTTCTGCGACACCCGAAATTGGCTTGCGTGCGTTCGAATTTGATTTCATTGACTGAAACATTAACACCCGTATGCTGTAATCCGAAAGTTCGTAGTTACGAATTCGTAGCTCCGTTCTGAAAATTCGAAAATTGGTATATTGTAATCCGATCGTAACTATCAACGGCGTTGCCAACTAAAATAGTGAAATTCGAAGTTCTTAATCAGCTGCTTTGACAGAAACAAATCAAAATAAATATAATCGCAAGTGAATAGTGAAATTAAAAAAAAAAATAGTTTAATCATTATTTGAAAAGACTTTTCCTTAATTAAGTAGAATACAAAGAATTCAGTGGCCGGTGCACTTTTGTCCCAGGAGGAAGAACAGTCAACAGTTGCATTAATATACAAAGGAGATTGCTAGGAGATTGTT